CTGTAGGAAATCGTGGGAGCTACAACTGTGAACATCTTAATGGATACGTTAGGAAACGTCTAAACCGCTTCTTGGAATCAGGCAACCATCCCAACAGCCCTGCAGCATGCCAGGAGCCTGGCCCCTCAGAGCGCCCCTGTGAGGAAGCGAGCTCCAGGGTCATGATTCCTGCACCAGCTTCTGTGCGCGGTGGGGTGGGGCTGGCGGGGCCCTCTGGCACAGCTGTCCTCTGCACAGCCCCCTGCCCGTCCTTGCTGGCCCCGGCATGGGGCTTCTCTAGGCAACAGCTCTTACCTCCCCGGCGCCTTCTGTGCTCAGCTTCCATCTCCTCAGATCTGTCTCCTCCACCTGCCTTCTTCCACTTCAGAAGTTACTCAACATTTTCGTTCTTGCACTTTTCCGCCTAGACAGCCGTTACAGATTTTTTGAAGTTCAGCGCAATTTGGGAAGGGCAGATAAAAGTGAGCACCAGCTTGCCATCTCAAGTCATGACCTTTGATTTGTAAGTGGCCCGTTTCCATTTTACTGGGGGAGTCAACCAGGTGGGGTGTCTTTCCCCACGGGGTGGCCGTGAGCCAGGCAAGTTGCTCGACCTCTTCCCGCTGACCTCCACCTACACGAGGGTCTTGGATGAGACAAGCATTTATCAAACCTGTCCTTGTAACATACGCCTTCTGTCAAGTAAAACCGAGGGCAATGGTCCAATATGTAAAGCAAATTAAACCAGTATTTTCTTTTTCAGAATATGTAGTTAAATGCTGAAGAGTAACTAAAACATTTTTAAATAAAAGTGCAGAGCAGGCGGCCACGCTGGGGTGGGCAGATCTGCGGAGATACTGGCAGCTGCTGAGCAAGGGCGAGCCTGCCCCTCCCAGCTGAGGTGCACTGTTTTAGAAATCTCTCAGATGGATCAGCACTCCTGGGTTCTGCTGGCAGCAACACCCGCGAGGGGTTTAAGGGAAGGAGTGACGGTACCGTGACTACGGGCTAGGCTGGGCTGGAGAACGGGCCCAGCATGTGGCCCTGGACAGAACTGCCCTAGAAGCACCTGACTGGGGTCCAGGCCATCTGCAGTCGCAGCTGAGCATGCAGGAGACTGCACAAGGGTGGCTGTCGGGGCACCCACCAATCTGGAGACAGGTCTGTGCCCTAAGGGCTGAGTGAGGTCTCATTGGGCCGGAGGCCTGAGAGGAGGAGAACAATTCTCTGCTAATATGGGTGCTGGGCCCTCAGACAGTTTGGGGAAATTGGACTAGAATTGTGCCCAGGACCGAGGAAAAGGGAGGGTGGGACGCAGCAGCTGAGGATAAACTAACTTTTAAGCTCAAATGTGGACTATTTCCTCATTCTAAGGTCAAAGTGATTGCTTAAAAATACAGTATATGAAGTGTCAGAAAGCACACTAGTTTCTAAAAACGATTTTTGAAATAAAAATAGTTGTAGAATTTAGGTAGTGGGTTTATAGGTGTTCACTGTAAATTTTTCTCAGCTTTTCTGTATGTTTTAAATTCTCATTTAAAATGTTTACAAGTGGTAAAATACCATTTTATTTTGTAGGTGAGCATTTGAGGAAGCCTGGGCCACTGTTGGGGAGCCTTCGGGTTTGTACACAGTGTGAAAGCCACCAGATGTCTCCTGAGGCCCTTCGAGCTGAAGATCTCCAACTTCTTAAGAGCCTCCTCAGGGTCAGCCCTCATGGCTGGGGGCTGACGTGTTTTAGAAACTGGCATTTTAGATGACTTTCACATAAAGTCTTCAAGCCGTTTTACATCTGAACATTATTACTATGGGGTTGCACCTGTACCCCAGATTAGTTTTATCATGAAATGCAGTCATTTCAAACCACCTTTTTTTTTTTCCTTTTTGTCTTTTTTACTGACCGGTAACGGGATCGCAACCCTCGGTGTCGCGCCCGTACCGGGGACCAGCAACGGGATCACAACCGTCGGTGTTGCGCCTGTACCACGCTCAGCCAGTGAGCGGGAACCGGTCTCCACATGGGATCCAAACCCTCGGCGGGAGCGCCGCCGCACTCTCAAGCGGCGCACTGTAGCAGTGCGCCACCGGGCCGGCCCTCAAACCACCTTTTAAAGATGGAAATAGATCAATATATAAGCAAACATTAAATAGACTTCCAAAAAATCACACATGGTGCCAGGTACTCAGTGGATTTGTCTGTCACCCAAGCCACTTGATAAGCGTGCACTGAGGAAGGCACTGCGATAAAAGGCCCAGCCACACAGTGCAGAATAAAAACAGAGGTGGGTCCTCAGACACGGGCTGTGCAGAAGTGGTGTTACCTCCAACCTAGCCCACCCCCTTAAAAAAGAGATTTTATGGTCTACCAATTTAGGAAGTGCTGGATGAAACAGCATGAAGACACTCCTCAGACTACTCAACATACCAGTGAGCATGGCCGATCTCCCCGAGACCGACACAGCAAAAGGAGCCCAAAACTGGGTCCACGGAAGCCTTTTAGGGGAGGGACCATGTTCTAAGACAAATGTTTTAAGAAGGCAAAATAGAAAATGTTACAAATGTTATCTCAGCCAGTGATTCATCTAAAACGCAGCCTACCTGTGGTGGTTACATCCTTCAGCAGCACCTATGAGAGAAGAACGATTTCTGACCGAGCAGAGCTTGGTTTTAAAATGAAGGCTCACCCACCTGTGGGAAATAGGTCCAGGTCCCAGGTTGACCATCATCAGGATCCGCTGTGAGCTTACCTTCGTAATAATGCTTTGGTCTTTCCACTTATGTTTGGCAATTTTTTCCTTAGCTTTATTTTTAAAATGTATTGGTGAACCAAAAGTACCTCATATTCTTGTATGACATCTGATTTCTGGTTCTCCTGAGACTGGGTGCATCGCCGCCCTGCCCCGCCTGGCTGAGCTAATGGCCCATCCCATACCCTTTCCATTAGAAACATCACCTCTACCCTCTCCCACTCCCCAGCAAGCCAGTCAAAGCACATGCCCAAATGTATTTTTATTTTGCATACATAGGAAACAGGACCCTATCAAAGGAGAACAAAAGAGAGATGAGCCAAGTGTTGCAGAGGAAAAGCACGCACAGATCTGCTTCAAGTTCACTCGTAACCATGACTCCACAGGATTTCCGCACAGCTGGAGCTCGACTCGCTCTGAGAGGTGGGCACACTCCCCTCGCAGCACACGGGCCTCGAGCATGGCCAGGAGATGGCACCAGAAGTGGAATTTCCACGTCCAGCATCAGTGTTCACTGTCGCAGGATTCTAACCCAGGTTCAAGGGAAAATAAAATGTATCATACACAAACATGAAACTATAAAATTGTTGAGCACTGCCAGTCATTCAGCCTCTTAAGATCATTTGCATCAAAAAGATAAACAAAATTTGGTCCCAGACATTTGGGTGCCTACCCAGCTGTCCCCTGATCCAATTCTAGGGGCAGCTCTTAGCATGTGCTTCTCTGTTTAAAAAAGCGAAGGGAGAAATTGAAGTTAAAAATGCAAAACCAGTGACCTGGAGGAAGAGGAACTTTTTGGACCCATGTAGTTGTCCTGGTTGTAAACAGCAAATGTTGTGCTTTGTTGTCTCATTTAAATCGAGGACTGAAGCGTGGGAGGTACTGTGGTCAGGGACGGAGGTCAGAGGTCGCATGAGTGGTCAAAGACACAGCAGCAGCATCCGTGTTCACAAACTGTGTTCCCAAGTGTTTCCCGTGGGATGCCCTCGCAGGGGCCCAATTCTGTGTCCTCAGAGTAAAGTAAATCCAAGCAGTCGCTTTGGCCCTCCCCTACTCCTCACCTCCTGCCCGTGTAAGTGGACACCAAGGCTCGTGGTCTGGGGAATGGAAAACACCCCATATCCACTCCAGTGAGATGTCTCGATGCTCAAGTTCAAAGAGTAACAATTTCTCAAGAGGCTCAATTAGTTCATTTCAAAGTAAGTGCCACCCCCGCCCCGCTCCCCACAATACCACACATGTAGTAATCTACGCAGCCTCTCTACGCTGCCTGGCTACGCTGCTTTGCTCTTAATACACACGACATGTCAGGGCTCAACCTGGCTTTAAATACACACCAACACTACTAACTACGCAGGGGAACCGAGTCCCTGAACACTGCCTACTTCTAAGATCCTGGGGTGAGATATGATTCTTATCAGGGGATTTACATTTCCAACCACATCTTCTTTATTCTAATTTTGATTGCATGGTCATTGCAAAAAGGTCAGTGCTCTTCCATCTGTTTCTCAGCCAGCTCTTCCTCTTCAGAGCCCAACACACAGCAGCTCAGATCAAACACAAGTGCGACCCACCCCAGGCTCAGGATGGCTGGCCGTGCCCTGCGGGGATGCCTCAGCCAGATGTGCCCCTCTGCTTTCAAAGTGTCTGTCAGAACCCAGCAGCAGAGCTGCCTGGGGAAGGTTGCAGGAGCCTCTGGGCCCGACAGCACACCGACAGGCAGTGACATCTAGCGAAGATACACTCCCAGTCTGACCTCAAATGACCGGATACCATATACGCACTTCCATAAATGCATGAAAAAGGGAGAAAACATTCTTTTTTTTGCGACTCAGACCATGAGTTGCAAAATAAAATGCAATGTCCCCATTTGGGGCAGGGAACAATTTCCCATGAATTCCAATAACTTTCCTTAGTGATCTTCAGATAGCCGTGGACGTCCAGCTTGGGCCCCTGGTCTTGCAATGAAACCTTCACACGCTGCTCTGCCCTGACATGCAGAGGGAGGCCTGTCTTCAGGACAGGAGTGGAGCAGAAGGATGCAGGGACCACACTGTACAGCCACCTGCCAGGTGCTCCATATGTCACCCCCCCACACCGGCACTGCCCTCCCCCTTCTCTGAGGATCTGGTCGCATCTTGGGGACTGTCGCCATGCTCCTCCAGGGAGCAAAGATTGCATGAGAAACAGAAGAACAGAGGAGACACCATGTGGATTCAAATATTGTTCTCCATGGAAAACTTGAAAGAAAGCTGTGCTTGCTTTGAAGGTATTTGCCCTTAGCGGCTCATGAGACCATTCCTGGAAGTGAACATCAGTGGGGACAGGGAAAGCCGAGAGAAAGACCCTCTCCCGTCCCTCCTCCTTCACACGGCAGCGTCCCTGCTACTTGGCCTTCACCACCTGTTCGTAGGGGGGCGGGGGCGTGTTGCAGTAGGAAGGAGGGGGTGGGTAGGCCATGCTCCCCTGGGGTGAATTGGGCTGGACCTGTAAGGCCATTGCCATGGTATTCCCGACAGGATTCATCCCTGGTCCTCCAGGGTCGGTGTAATACGGTGGCCCCGGCTGCTGGGCTCCTGAAAGACAGACAAACCATATGTGAGCAGAGAGGAGAAAACCCACCACTCATCACACCAGGCTGAGTCCAGGGTGGAGGGGCCGGGGCCACTTGCCCAGTCATTTACTCAATTAGTGCACATCAAGGACCCAACACATGCAGATAGAGCAGGGCACCTGGGATGCAGTATCCAGGGGGCCACACACGGTCCCCTCCCTGCCCTCATGGAGCCTCCACTCTACTGGAGGGAGAGAATGCTGAAGGGCCACACACACACTCACAGAGCACGGCAGGGTCACAGGAAGGGCGGTGGACAGTGATGGGGTGGGGAAGACGCTCAGACGTCCTAAACTGAAACCTGAACGCTAAAAACAGGGCAGCTCTGCAGAGGATCGAGGAAATCAGCCGCAGCGAGGTAAATATCGGCCTGCAGCTACCTGTGGGAAGAACTGCAAAGATGACCCTGGTCTCCTGACTCTCCACCCAGAATTATTACCAGCAGCTCCACAACCCCTCTGAACACAGTTTGCTGGTGGCCATTTCTGAAGTAAGGTCTCCATTCCCACCTGCTGGGTTTGCATCCAGGTGAGCCCACGTTCACAGACAGGCAGACAACCCACCAGGGCAAATGCTGGCAGCAGGGCTGGGCTTGAGGAGTCTGTGGAATCTCTGTTCCCCCTGGAGGCTGCCAGAGCTTGGCTCCTCCAAGGGTGAGGATCTAAGAAGCCAGCTACGTCTCAGCTTCCAGCCGGGGTGAAGAACACGGAGGGAACGGGCTGGTCGCCCTGCTCCGAATCTCGCCCTAACTCTGAGCTGCCGCATTAGACGCTGTTTTCAGATCTGGTCGTTCTGATCATGTGGATAACACTACAGAATACTGAATATATAAATAAACAGACAAGAAAAGAAACTGTGGGAGCTTTGGGTGTTTCCTAGATTAAGCTAATTTTGTGAGGAACTTTAGGTCTATTTGAGTGAGGCCTCATTTAACCCAGACAGAAACTCAAGTGTCACAGAAGCTGCCCTGTGTGAATACTGTGTAAGGTGTCCATTTGCAAATCTCCCTCTGACGCAGTGTGACTGACTCCTGGAGAGACTCTGGCCAGGGTGTGCAAGATGCCTCAAGCCCCTACAGCTGGCATAACTCAGATCTTGGCAATCAACAAATGTGCTGACAGAATGTAGAACAGAAACACAGGCCATGCGTGCATTCACGTGTCGGGTGCAGAGCAACCAGCCTGATGCCACCTGTAGCAGAGACCACCTCCTCTTGTGTGGCACGACCCCTGCCCCTCACCCGCTGCACCAGCCATGATCATGCGTTTCTCAAGGGCAGAGATTGTGTTTTATTTTTATCTGGATCCCCTTATACGTTATACAATTTAAAAGTTAAAGAGTGAAAAAGAAGAGGCCACTGTAATGGTCTGGGCAGACACAGTGAAGGCCTTTGACAGAGAAGGAGAGGAGAGCAGGAGAGGAGAGAAGGAAGAGGTAACGAGGACGGAGCGAACTCAGTGTGGATGAGGATGGAGACATGGTCTCAAAAAGGGGCCCGGCCAGGCAGATGAAAAGTCCCCCATGGATGTGTTAGGGCGGAGGTGGCCTTGTGGTCTTGCGTGTAAAGGCGGTAAGAAAAGCGTGGGTGTGCGTGCGATCACCAAGGCGGTGTGCAGGGGGGAGAAGAGCCACCGATGGCTGAGGGAAAGTGCAGGGGAGACAAGTGCCCACAACAGGACAGGACAGAAAGCACCCCAGGTGGGGGATGGTGGCCGGGAGAAGTGGGAGAAGCAGGGGACTGGGAGTCATGCAGGACCTCAGAGGGAAAGGGGAATTCTTAATAAAGAAGTGACCGTGACCGGTCCTCCCCAAGGTCGAAGCAAGGTCAGAACAAGATGTGGCCTTGCGTCTGCTCTGAGCAGAAGCCAGCACAAGGGAGAGGCAGGGGTCTGGGGCACTGCGGGCACAGGGAGCGGGAAGGGAGGAGAGCATGTTCCTGGGGACAGCAGGGGCTCACGGTGACTGTGGGGTGGACACAGCCCCAGTGTGGGCAGGTGGGCGGGGCGAGCACAGGGTGCGGCTGGAGGAGGGGGTGTGGGTGTGGACTCCGGGGTCCCGTGCCCACGCGGATGGCCGTGCTGGGCATGGAAATGGGTGCTGGGTTACCCACTTGCTGACAGTGACCTGGGAAGGAATATATGGGAGACGGAGCAGATAGATTCCAAAGTCCTCAAAGAAGCGAGCAGTGCACAGTGGCCACAGACAGCAGCAAAAAAGTGACTGGAGCGGCAGGGCCAAGTGGTGTGGGATGGCAGGCAGTGGGGACAATATGCATGGTGGGGACAGCAGGAGCTGCGGGGCGCTGCCAGCATCTCTTACCCTGTGGGGGTAGATTTGTGACGGATGGTTCATTTACAGGAAGAAAACTATAGAACATTCTGGGAGGAAGCCAAAGTTACAGGAAGATTTTCTCCAGCAGACACAGAAGCAAGGATGGCGGGAGGTGAGGACAGCAGCAGCCTCACAGCGCCCAGGCGTCGAGAGTCCAGGGGTCAGCATGTGTAGCACGCAGGGTCAGCCTGGCATGGAGCAGGAGTGTGCACGTGACCCTGAAGAAGGAATGCTCAGCAGGACGGAGCACCAGACCCCCTGTGACATGCATCTCTCGCCACAGGATGGGACTGGAGAGGAAGAGGCTCAGGCTGGAGAGGGTGAGAGAACCCAGCAGACGGGAGACTAATGGCTGGGACTTGACGCGGGACCCTGGTGACCCAGGCTTCCCAGCTGGCACATCATCTGCTCATTCCTTACTGCCATCTCCTCTTACCCCACCGAGAGACTCTGCATGATTTGAGACGACACCAGATTCAGCAAGATTGGTAAGAAAGTGTCAGAGATGTTAACTGGCACTGCCCCTGCTAGGTGGGGCCACCCTGCCCACACCTTGTGCCACAGGGATGGCTGGGCAGCCCCACTGCCTCAGTGTGACCCTCCCCTCTCTACTGCGGCTGCTCCCCCGCGACGTGTGAGGACAGGAGCTGGGCCAGTCTTTTGTTGGGAAGAACAGTCTGGCAGGCGGCAGCACGGGGAGGCAGAGAGCAGAGGGCAGACAGAGCGCGGCTGTGGACGACGCCAGGGCCCCCAGCCTGGGGCTGCCCCACCCCACCCCACCCCGCCCCGCCAGTCTGCACAGTCAGCCCTCCCCGGGGTCAGCACCTTCTGTGTTCCACCCTCCACACTGCCCTCACTCTCACAGTTTGTCACAGCCCACGTCCTGACTTCCTGCAGCCGTCTCCAGCCCAGGTGCTTCTCGAGATTTAGGCAGGTGTCTCACTCAGGACAGGGGACGTGGACTCACCCGTCCACCCTGCACCAGGCCTGCTCACCTCCCCATATCATTCCCACTCTGCACAGGTGACCCCATATCCACCCATTCACTCACTGTAAGCCAAGTGCCTTTCTGAGGGACAAGAAGGTTCCATCTACTTCAGAGTCTTACTTCTCACGGCCCTGCCTTATTCCTTATCTCCCAACAGCCTCTGAATTGTATGACTCCTGTTCACCCTCCCCAGGGCCCTTGCTTGAAAGCATCTCCTGAGCTGTCACCGTGCAGACCACTCTTCCTGGAATACCACACCCCACCTCACGCAGCCCTCCTCCCCGACCTCTCAGCAGGCTAATGCCCATTTCTCAGCTCAAATCGCCAACTCAAGGAAGCCGCATCTCATTGCCTGTCACCACCCTCCTGGATGGAGTAAGCAGCCCTGTCCTTGTGGCATCCAGAATGCCATGTGTGTGTCGGTATCCCTGCATCCACCACAGTGTAGCACAATTTTCTGAGCTCTCTGCGCATGAGGATGGGATACCATTCACCCTGGTACCCAGAACAGCACCTGACATGTGGCAGATGTGCCATGAATAATGGGAGATGAATGACTGAAGAAGGGATAAGTGGCAATTTGGATTTGGGCTTTGTCTCTGCCATACTGTGCTGAGCACATGTGGCCATTTCCAGAAACACACCTGTTTCTGGTGTGACAGGAGGAACTGGCTGCTCCAGTCCAGCACACCTGGGCTAAGCCATTCCTCCTGAGAATGTGAGTCAGGGGGAGGACCCCAACTCCCTATCACAGGTGTTGGGGGGGCGGTGTGTGATCTTGGTGACAGAGATGTGGCTTGGGCTGTACTTGTAATGTCCCCAGCAGCATGGCCACATACATTGGACAGTAATGAGAAACATTGGTACCTGTCTCCAACTTAATACTTGCATGTTAACGGTCACACTCGGATACTGCCAGGATTTCATGGGATGGGACTGAAATATTTGATCGTGGAGATGGAGAGGCATTAGACATAGAATAGAAACAGAACAGACAGGAGGTGGATAAATTATGTAGTTGTCAAAAACATAAACCCTTAGGTGAAAAAACTTGGCAACCGCAAGTATGGAAAGTGCTGGAAAGCCTGTGGTTGAAGCTAAAGGGTAGAGGAAGCGGGACTGTGGCTTCATGGTAAGCCGCTCAAGGCTCCCTGCCAGGTGAAGGCACTGAGGTGCAATCCGAACCCGCTGAGCCAGGGCAGGTGGCCCTCACAGACACCAGCACCCAGACCACTGCTGCAGGTCTGCTCCCTGGGCTAAAAGCAGAGCTGTCAGCAAGACTCTGACCAGGGTGAACATTCAGGCTCCCCCAGGGCAGAGAAACTGAGAGAAGATGGGCCCAGTACTGACTGAGGCAGAGAGACTCAGGGAAGTGAAGGCAGGAAGACTTCGCTACATGTGTGACACCCACAGGGAGAACCCCGGACTTCAGAGAGATCATCTGAAAGATGTTCCCAAAAAGATACACTTGATTCGAGGGCACATGACTCTGGAATTGAAAGCACCTTAAAATCGTAATTTCCACTCCAAAATCACAAATAAGCATGGTGAGAACAAAAATTTGAAAGGTAAAAAATAAGAATTGACTGAGTTTTCGGGAGAGCACTCAGATTGCCTGACTCTGACAAAGTGCCCTCTCAGCA